CCGACGGCAGGGCTTCACGCCACTACCTACGTCGAAAAAACAGGCATTTCCGGCTTCATAAGTGGCGCTTCCGCTCGACCGCGCACCGAATTCACGTGCGAAGCGCCCTCACGAAGGGGTCGTAGCTCAAATGGTAGAGCGCCCGCTTAGCATGCGGGAGGTAGGGGGATCGATGCCCTCCGACTCCAACCATTTTGCCCCCAGGTCGTGCCAGCGACGTAATCCCTGCGGTTGCCCACATGCTGCCAACAGGAGCCCCAGCCGCCCCTGCAATCATGCATGTGTGCAGGCACACCCGGTACGGTTGTTCCTGATTATAGCACCCGCAACCTGAACTACATCCCGCTCACTGTGGCTGAAGGCCTGTTGCTCACGCCAGCAAGTGAGCTGCGACCACCACTCGCTGTTCCTACAGTTCGCCACCTTGTTCGCGCCGGTCGGCGCTCCTTGCCCAACTGCGCCCCACTGACATCCTCGTGGCTGCTGCGCGTGATGCAGCGCTCTTGCGAAAACCAAGTTCTATAGACAGGCGTGCGGAGGCACACGCGAAGAGACTTGCGCGACTCGCGGAGATCGCTTGGTGTATGATCACGCTAGGGGAGAACCTGGAAGGCAGATCAAAATAGCCTAAACAACGCATAATCAACCGTGCGGCGTTCGAACGCACCCGCAAAATTGGTGGTAACCCGCTTTTCAGATCGCGGCTGCCTCTAGGGCCTATAAAGATTGTATAAATCGGTTCTCGAGCTGAATGTGAATCATCTGTGTATAACATACCGCAGTCCGTCGAAGAACGACCTCACCCATACACACTTGCTTCTGCTGCTTGTGCTGCATGTGCGGTGTGCTGCTGCGCAACGCCCTTGCGCCTGCACATGCCTGCCGAGCTCAGCATGCTGCAGCTCTACCGCCAGATCCTCAAGGCGGCGCGGGACTTTCCCTCGGTGGGTGGGCTGCTTATTGTCGCAGCGTGTGGGAACTGCAGCGTTGAGTGCATGAACATCACCGTCGGCAGCACTGCCAACCACTGTTCGTAGCAATACGCACACCAGCATTGACTGGAGGTGCGTTCCACCCCTTGAACCTACCTGCATGCAGGTGAAAAAGAATTCAATTATCAAAGAAATTAAGGCTGAATTCAGAGCCAACCAGGTAGGCAGACATCTCCGGCAACCAGCCCACCAGCCAAGCAGCCAAGCAGCGCAGCAGCACAGCAGCGCAGCAGCACAGCAGCGCAGCAGCACAGCAGCGCAGCAGCACACCGCCAGGATACTTGAGGCACACAATCACTTGCCCAAAAACAGGACTGGAGTAGACGAGCAGGGAACATCAAAACGGTCTACGACACAGCTGAATAGAGTGCCTGTCCAGCTCTGCTGCCTGGCTGCCCGGACCAAGCAAGGATTCTGCAGGCCATGCTTGCCCTGCCATGCCTCAACTCCCCTCAACCCGCGCTGCCGTAGGGCCTGACCGATGGCGGCAAGATTGCGCACTGCCGGGAGCTGGCGGAGCGAGGGCTGTCCGACCTGCAGGCTTACGCGGTTGCGGCTGCCAGCTCGGGCGAGTCCAACATCAACCTCAAGGGCGCAACCCACTGAGGCGCATCACATTCAGGCCCACACGCTGTAACAGCGCGTCACCATGACATGTCTGCCAACTACGCAGGATTTGCTCTTTGTTGATATATGTTGACAGATTGGCTGTGGACGCGTGCCCACACGCGGGGGTGTGAGCGCATATGGTTGTTATGCCGCATGGCCTATGCTAGGCGCTGCAGCGGCACAAGTTCACGTGCTGTCGTCGCTGCAGGAGCTGCTGCTCTGAAGCTGCATTTTGCTTCCGTTTGTTGCTTTTTTATGTACATTCTGTTTTGTTTGTTGCAATCCTTAACTCACTAGTAAGTAAGCTCACAAACAACGGCCGCCATCCAGTTCAATGCAACCAATGTGTCTGTATGTGCAAGTGGCAGAGGCCATGCGGCCACCAGGCGTCAGAGGCTGCCCATTGACGAGCATCCGCTGAGCGCTTGTTCTCGCTCAAAAGCCATCACGCGCACGGCACAGTTCGCTAGGCACAGCCCATGGCAGCGACTAGGCGTGGCAGCGTCGCACCCGCGGCGCCCATGGCCCGGGACCCAGCGATGCCCGTTCCACATGATGCTAGCGACTGTTTGTGGGGCACCGTGCAAAACATCTATGCAACCTGCCGGCAGCGATGCACGACCAACTCCTAGAATGACCAGCGTGCTGTATACCCCCTTACAGAATTCCCCTCCCTCCTTGACCCGCCAAAGCTACTTGTGCACATGTGGCGTTGTCGCTGCAGGTGGGAGCAGGTGCACGCGGCCAAGCACCACTTCCTGGCCACGACTCGAGTGCTGGTGTTGGCGCTAAGGACACAATGCCTTTGATTTCCTAGCGGTGTGAGTGAGCTACCTGTGTTCTGCGCTGCCAGTAGGGAGCGTGGCGTGCTGGGCAGGGCGGGGTCGCTGCTACGGCCGCGCGAGTGGCGAGCGGAAGGCATAATTTAAACGCAAATCCCATCATTCAGGAGCTGGGGGAGCGCGGGGGCGCAGCGCCGCAGCACAAGCGATCCTCAGCCGCCGTTGTGAGTGCAATGCCGCCATGTCTACCAAGCGCTGATGACTGCGCCTGCAGCGGTCCGCTCATGCTGGTTGACCCACGCTGTGGTCACTGACCATGGCACCGGGAGTGTCGCATTGCACGATGGCATTGCCTGTCGCTGAGTTGCAGGCCGCCGATGGCAACGGAACGTGCCGCCACCAACATGTTTTGATCAGGAACATCAATCACCGCGTTTACCGTGTGTCAGTTCGGTGTTGCATGGCAGGGCACCGGGCTGGTTCGCAGTTACCGTAGCTAGCAAGGGCGTGCACAGGAGCAACACAAAACATCGAGGGGGCAATCCACTATTCTCTTCGGATACAACCGCTTGGCTTGGCTGTCCGGCATCCCAGATCACCTAAGTGCACGCAGTGCACAAGGACTGCGTGTCAGGAGTATCTTTGTCACCATCTGATCATCTCTGTCAGTAGCTTCATCAGCTGCAACACCAGCGACGTGCTCTGGAACACTGTCCAGGTCGTCGCGCGCAGCGCGCCGCGCAGGCACAAGGGCGGCTAGTGGCAGCGGCAGGCGGGGCTTCTGCGCCCGTGGGCCGCAGCCATGGCAAACACATTTATAGAGCAGATTAGAGGTGCGCCACAGTGCACCCTGCTTGCCAGTGGAACTCTGGGAGCGGTCGGAGTAGAGGCGCTCTGCGCTGCAGAGCTGCTGTTGGGGGCCGGTCACATGCGTGCCGTGCAGGAGCAGGACACTCTATATCAACCGCACAGTCTGCAGGCGGCTCTTGGCATGCGAAAGACGCATTGGCACCACCTCCAGAGCAGCGGCTGCCTGCGCCTCCGCCGCGCCACTTTCCCTAAGCAACAGCGCGCACAACGCGGCGCGCAGCCACCGCCAATTCCGTCGCCCTCCCTCTTTGCCCCACCGCGTGCACGCCGGCTCGCCGACGCTGCACCCCACCCAAATCCTTCTTCCCCTGCGGCTGCCGTCGACTCCCCCCACCCATCTCTCTGATCTGATTTGTCAACTCCCAGTCCTGCATGAAGAGGTGGAGCGCCTGGAGCGGCTGATTGTGAAGGACTATCGCCAGGAGGGCGTCAAGGGCCACCGCGACAAGCTCATGCAGAACCACCGCGTGCGAGCGCGGCTGGACCAGATTGCGGATGTGTCGCGGAAGCTGCTGCGCGCCTACAAGGACGGCGAGGACGAGTGCGAGGCGCGGCGCGAGGAGATCTCGGCGCTGGGGGCGGTGGACCAGACCAGGGTGTTCGCGTGAGCAGGGGACAGGAGCGGTGATGCAGGGGGGTTGCGGATGATTGCGGACCGGGGCAGTTGCCAGGGGTCTGCAAATGCGGCTGGCTGATGCCCAGATTGTGGCCGCACACGCTCACGACCGATCTCGTTCTTCAGCTGCTCCACCACGTTACCAGGAGGGTCCATGGCAGCCACGAGGGGCCTGATGCTGTTCACGCCCACGCGAGGGCGCACCGCTCACACATGCGCGTGTGTATGCATGCGCGCGCACACGCGCACATACACACACACACACACACACACACACACACACACACGCTTCTTCTGCCATGCAACCCCCCCTCCAGCAACTTCTACGAGCGCCTGAAGGACGTCCGCGACTACCACCGCCGCTTCCCTGTGCATGACGTGACCGGCGCGGAGGACGACAGCGCGGCCATTAAGGAGGAGCCCGCGATCCCCTTCACAGGGGAGGAGGGCCTCGGCCGGTGAGCGCGTGGCGTGCGGCGGCCCCGCGGCGCGGTGGGGGTGGCCATGCAGCAAAGGGCGGGTACGTTGAGGCGGTTAAAATTGGGCTGCAGGAGCTTGGCTGCCGCTCCCCGCTTCGCAGCTCCCAAGCTGCTAGGTCGGTGATTCCTCCCCATGTGCCAACCCAAATGCACCTATTCCACCTGGCCCTGGGATGCCGTCTCAGCCCACCATCCTCCCTCAACTTGCGCGTGAACCGTTGTGCGGGCGCGGTCATTCACACGCACATTGGGGCGTTTACACATGCATGAAACTGCGCGCTCACACATGTTCACTCGCGCGCATGCGGGCACACATACATACGCACGTGCGCGCGCGCACACACACACACACACACACACACACACACACACACGCACGCACACTCACGCACTCCTGCACACACACTCGCGCGCGCCCCCACCCTCCTACGCAGCTACCTTGACATGCACGAGCTGCACCGCGCCTTCACCAACGCGCGCTTCGGCCGCCAGCTGGACTATGTGGAGTACCTCTCATCCTTTGCTGACTTCAGCACGGCCCCGAAGCACCTGAAGCTCGGGCAGCCCTACAGGTGCGCATGCTCGCGCCGCTTGCGCGCGAAGGCAGGCGTCTGGCGATGCCAGCTCAGCCCCTGCCCGCTGCCCGCCTTGTGCTGGCCGTCCCAGCATCATGCCGCCCTCGGACACTCGCTCACTTCGCTTTTCTCCACCCACCTGGCCCAACGGCGCGACAGGCAGTACGTGCAGCAGCTGCTGGACTACCTGATCTCGTTCTACGAGCGCACCCAGCCGCTCGCGCAGCTGCGGCGCCAGCTGGACAAGCTGGAGGAGGAGCTGAGGGGCCAGTTCGAGGCGGGGGCGGCCCCCGGGTGGGAGGACCAGGGCGGAGCGCAGGGCGGCGCGACGGCGGAGGAGCTGGGGGTTGACCTGGAGGCGTTTGACTCAGTGGAGGAGGTCGAGATCATGGGTGGGTGGCGATGGGTGGAGTGGCACAGGGGGTGGGCGATCCAAGGGGGTGGAGTGGCGATGGGAGGAGATTCCAGGGGTTGGTCCATCAAGGGGGGGAGTCCGTCAAAGGGTGATTGAGGGGGGGGGGGCCTATCAACATTGAGGAGGGGGGGCTATCAACATTGTGGCCATCATGCGAAGCACGAGGGCCTGTCAAGGCAGGACCATTGGCAATGGAAGGCGTGGTCACTCGCATGGGGTGGCGAATCAAGGGGCAGGCACATTGAAGCTGCCATGGGGCAGCAGGGCTGCATAGGGACGCTGTGCATGCGCATCAAGTTGAGGCCGACCACCGCAGCGCTGCCGCGCCCCAAAGCGACGCCTTGCGGCCGAGCTCCTGCCTGCTGCAGTGTGCGCACGCCAGCCCCCCACAGGACGCCCTCTTAAACCTCTCTTTGCCGGCACCCCCCCCCCCACACACACACACGCACACTCCAGGTGCTGACCGCCTGAAGGAGGCGCTCACCACTCTGGGCCTCAAGGCCGGCGGCACCACGCGGCAGCGCGCGGAGCGGCTGTACGCCGCGAAGGGCCGCCGCCTGGACGAGCTCGACCCCAAGCACTTTGCAAAGGGCAGCGCGCTCGCCGCCGCCCGCGACGAGGCGGCGCTCGCAAAGCGGCGCGCGGCGGCGTGGGAGGCGTGCGCGCTCGAGGGCAAGGTGCGGGCGCTGCCCGTGGGCGAGGGCCTCGGCTCGTTGTCAGCGCGCCCCGCTCCCTCGGAACAGCCCTTAGCTTGCGCCCCGCGCCTCCCCTTGCCGTCCCAGCAACCGCGGCGCCCGTTGCCCGTCCGCGCCCTCTCTCAGCAACCACGCCCCCGCGCCCCATCCCCTGACCCCCAGGTCCGCCGCCTGGCGGAGCTGCTGGCCAACGTCGTGAGCGACACCAAGGGGCGCGTGGAGAAGAAGCAGGCGCAGACCTATGAGGAGATGCTGGCAGAGCTGGAGGAGGCCGAGGCCGAGGCGGGCGCGGCGCCCGATGACGAGGACGACGAGGACGAGTACGTGTACAACCCCCTGAAGCTGCCGCTCGGGTGGGACGGGAAGCCGATCCCGTACTGGCTGTACAAGCTGCATGGGCTCAATCAGGAGTTCAAGTGCGAGATCTGCGGGAATTTCAGGTGGGGCGCGGGGTGTTGTGTTTTGGCAGAGGGGGCGAAAGGATTTTCGCAAGGAGCAGCGGTCAGGGGGCGTTATTTGGTGGTCCAGCGACCAGGTCGAGTGTGCTGATACGCCAGGCTCTATTCAGGCCTGGCAGGTGCAAATGGGGCTTGGGATGGGGAGAAAAGTTTCACTATGCAGGCGCCCGCAGCCCTCTGCTGCGCTTTTCAGTTGCAACGCCAACCGCTTACACCTGAGCTCTCTCACGCATGCAACTTTATAACTCCCCCCCGCATCACGCCGCGCGTCCCAGCTACTTTGGCCGCCGCGCGTTTGAGCGCCACTTCAAGGAGTGGCGGCACGTAAACGGCATGCGCGCGCTGGGCATCCCCAACACCAAGGACTTCTACGAGGTCACCAAGATCGAGGACGCCATGGCGCTGTGGAAGACGCAGCAGTCGCGGCAGGTGGGGCCTCCACTTGACCGCGCGCGAGCACCCACACGGGGTTGCGGGAAGGGGTGTGTTGCCCAACCCGGAGCTGTGTCGGCCGTTTTTGCAGGCGCAGGGTTGCCAGACCTGCCTGGTTCCTCGGCCCAGTCAGGCTGTGAGCATGCATGAGCAGACGGTTAACGGCATGGCGACTGCGGACGGATGGCCTGAAACCTGTGCCTGCGGGGTCGCTGCCGTCTCGCCGGCCCATTTCGTGCCTTCCGCCGGGCCTTGTGCCGCCTGCCTACCCCTCACAGACTGGCGGCTTCAACCCCGAGACGGACGAGGAGCTGGAGGACCAGTTCGGAAACGTGTACAACAAGAAAACGTACGAGGATCTGCGGCGGCAGGGCATCATATGAGGAGGGGTTTTCCCACGTACCTGTGTCCGAAGTGGCCGTTGCGCATTTGCTGTTGTTGGTGGGTGCTGGCCCACATCACTCGGCCAGTTCCAAGCATGTGCAATCCTGTAAGTTATGGTAGCAAAACTTCCATGTGTGAGCAAGGGGGGCGATGAGAGGGTGCTGCGGCCTTTTCGGCTGCTGGTCAACACCTGCAGTGACCAGATCATGCTTGGTGACGTGAACTGACATTTTGTGGCAGTGACGCAGTTGCTTGTGCCAGACAAAAGTTCCGATTCGCATTTCTTTTACGTTAATAAAGAGCTGTTGTAGACACAAGTCTAGGAGGAGTGGAAGGGCCGTGCCGATGTGGAAGACCCACGCAGCATGGAAACAAGGGCACAGAACAGCCTGACCTATTCGCAACCCCTTTGGCAACACAATAGATCTCCATACGAACCGCTTCCTCTCCCATACCTTCCAGCAAGCGCGCAAGCGATCAGAACGAGTGCATGAGGTGCGTCCAGCTGCTGCCTCTGGGCCCCTTTCCGGTCGTTTATAGCTCTAACAACCCCCCTTTTTACACTGCAGTGCAAAGGAGGAGCGGCCGACCCTTGCGTGAGTGGGGAGCTCGCAGTCTGCTCGTGCTTTGCTGCCCGCAGTCTGCACTTGCTGCCTGCACCTCGCCAGCCCCGTTGATCGGTCCCCCTTTGCTCCGCAGTGGTGTGAATGTGAAGACACGCAAGCGGAACATCGTCGTTCCCAGCGACCCCGGCTCCTTTGCGGATGCCATAGTTCAGATCTTCGCGGACGCCGCTGACGAGGGAGTCTCCATCGACAAGAATCTCGACGCAGGGGTGAAGGCCCTCGACTCGGCGGACCTCGACTTCAGCCGCTATGCAGACACCTTGTTTGAGGTGCTGTTCGCCGGCGGCCGCCTGGCCACCGGCGGCAACCTGGCCGACGACCAGAAGGAGCGCCTCGCGACCAACGTGAGAGCCAGGATGGGGTCCTCGCTTGCAATGGCGTGTCGTGGCAGTAGATGACGTCGCCTTCATACATACGGGACAGCCGCGGCAGCAGTTGCAGCACGGCGCGTGCGGCGCCGCGCGCCTGCGTGCGCGCGCAGCGAGGCTGCTCGGCGCGCACATGGAGAGGACACGCTCGCGCATGTTGATGGCGTCGCAGGTGCTGGCGTGCGAGCCCAACCCGGACGCGATCGCGCCGTTTGTGAAGGTGTTCCAGTCCCTCATCAGGTTTGGCGCGACCCGTTCCGGGCGCGCGGCAGAGCCAACGCTGCAGCACAGCGGCAGCCGATGGAAGCAGCCGCGGCGCGGCGCGTGCTAGCTGCTGCAGAAAAGCAGCGTGTTAAACCCATGCCAAGCAATCGTTTGCCGGGCAATCCACGAGCTGGATGGAACTGGGCAGTTCCATCCCCTGACGGCAGCTGCAAACGCCCCCTGCCGCGGTTCATGCAGCTCCGCTCTGCTCGCGCCAGCGCGCGCCGCGCCACAGCAGATACCCCAGGCGCTGCAGCCGCACTCCCTTCCGCAAATTGCATCCCAGCGTGTGCAGCCGACGTGCTGCGTCATGCCCCTCCGCCCCCAGGCCCTTTCCTTCGCACCATGTTCCCTGCCCCACTCCCCCATCCCGTCCCCTTTCACCCCTTGTGTGCGCCAGGCGCCGCCCCTTCCTGGTCAAGGGCCTGGAGGCGACCCTGAACAAGTTCATCCTGTCGTTGGAGTTTTACACCGAGGAGGGCCGCAAGAAGATCGCCACCAGTGAGGACAAGGGCGCTGGTGCTGACGTGGCGTGACCTGTTTTTTGG